GATTATTCGGCGAATCGAACGCGTCGCGTCGTTCGGCAATAGCACTCGGGTACGATCGGCCGGGCTCGGCCGCGCTCGGCCGGTGACGACGAGCATCGGGCGGCGCGCGCGAGTTACTCAGGCGGCCGGGGGCCGCCATTTTCCTCCAGCAAGGGACAGCAGTCCGGAGCGTAGGTAGCGAGGGTCTGTGTGCATTATTGGCGTACCGAGTCGAGAGTAGTGAATCGCGAGGCGCGAAAACCCCGTTCGCGTACGCCGCGAATCGTGTGCGATCCGCATTCCGATTGCACAGGGACTGCGGTGTGTCCGAGTGGTCATCAGTATCGTTCGCGACTTCACGCGCCGTGTGCCGATCGCGGCGGTCACCCGGTAGACGGACGCCGTTGCCGCCGCGCGTATTTATGTAGCGTGAATCGACGGGACGAACCGAGGATACATCTTCGGGAAAGACGTTGGAAGAGACGACGCGTAAAAGAGCGGCAAGAACAAGTGAAAGGAGTGAGAGAAGAGAGGAAAAGAGAAGGAGATAGCGCGCGCGAGCGCAGAGGAAAGAAAAAGAAAGGGACGTAAGGAGCAAGGTGAAGAGAAAGAAAGAGAAAGACATACATACGCAGAAATAGAGGGATAGAGAGAGAAAGAGAGAGAGAGAGACGGAACAGAAGTGTGAATAGTTTGGTGATCGCAGTGTAGCCGCGCGCGCAGTGAATATACTCGACCGGCGGCCAACTTCGGGTGTTAGGACGCCAAGTGGGGACACCAAGGGAGAGCGAGTCGCCTCCGACAGGTTAGTGCAGTGTACGCGCAATCATGGCTTCTTCCTGCATGCGCGCGCGCGACAGCCAAGACAGTTGGCGCGCCTCGCGCAATCCATCCAGGTATACGAGTTCCTTGAAGCGCGGCAGTAGCGTCGGTGTGTTGCATGCATGCGTGCATGCATGCATGCATGTATGCATGCCTCTGCGTGCGTGCGATCGAGAATTTCGCGCTTTTCCGCCTCGTGCGTGGATGCGTGCGTGCGTGCGTGCGTGCGTGCGTGCGTCCGTGCGTCCGTGCGTCCGTGCGTCCGTGCGTCCGTGCGTCCGTGCGTCCGTGCGTGCGTGCACTTTCTTTGTGCCGCACCGGGAGATGCGCGTGCTCTGCTCTCTTTCCGCGCCGCTTTCCGGCGTCTCTCCCCGAACGTATTCTCAATTTTGTACCTTCGTGTCGAAATATCAAAGCGATAATTAAAATAATCGGTCTCTCTCTCTCTCTCTCTCTCTCTCCTTCTCTCAAATTGGAGTATGTTGAATAGAATGCAAGTAAGTGATGGTTAATAATAGTCATCACTCGCGGAAATATATATAGCTACTATATCTCTCGTAATGAAACATGATTGAATCATGATTCGATAACGCGTACGTTTGTACGCGATCCAGAAATGATATTTATATTTATATTTGATATTTATATTACCTATATGAATATATGTAGAATATATATATATATATATATACACACACACACACACACACAATACATTTTGTATGTTACATTATGTTATACGTGTTAACGCCAAGAGAGGAAGAGGCACGTCAAGAGAGAACGAGCATGCGCCTTTCTTTTTGCTCGCACGTTCAACCGAACTGGCCCGATTATTGCTGCCCCCTCCCGTGCCAACTCCGCTTGTCTTCATTCCGCTGTACTTCGTCTTCGCGCGCGTGCATGCGATCGCGACCACATCGAAATATCTAGATATTCGCGCATCCTGATTCGCGCGCGGAGAGTCTGCGTCTAGCAGTTAGCTAGTTTGACATTCCCGACGTGTTTGACAAATGTATAAAGTTAAACGACAGATTACGCGTTATCGGTACCAGTGACTATATTTTCTTCGAGAAAATAAAGGACAAATCTGAAAATTTTAGAGCTTTGTTCCTACATATTTTCAAACTATTGGAATGCAGTTTTCCAAAAGTTTATGATTGTTAGGAATCTACACATTACGAAATTTTCTTGCATACTATATCAAAATGAGATAATGTGTAACTTTCTGATAGTTTGAAACTGGTTTGACTATATGAGAGTAAATCTCTGATTTAAATTTAGAATAGAGTTGAAATAACAAAAAATAAATCCAGATCTAATCTGAATAGTTTTAATTAAAAAAATTAAAAATATAACACAAGATAAATTATATATTTATATTTTATATATTTTATTTAAAAAATTTATTTATTAATACATTAGACATTAAAATTCTAATTAGAAAAAAATTGCGTAAAATAAAAGATTAAATAAAATAAAGGGTAAAAAGTTAAAGTAAAAAACAAATAAATCTAAAAGACAGTTATCTGAGATAAAGGACTGTTCTTTAGAATAAAGAGTTTATGGTTAGCATAAATATCGGATGTTTGTAAGAATATTTTAGATTTTTTTTATCTTACACGAAGCAAACCTAAAGATACGAATGAATGCGATCCTGGAATGTCTTATTAGGATAGTAAATTTTTTGGAGGAAACCACTGGTGTTTGAAAGCAATATTCAGTGTCTTCAATCTGCATAAAGATTCATCTGAATAATTATGAATTATTTAAGTGGAAAGGCAGATTTAATATTGAAATGTGGCGAGAAAACAGGGAAAAAAATTTCCAGAGAAAAATCCATTAAAAATCCATTAAATCCATTTTTAAGAGGAGGATCATATATAGGAGAAATAAAATTATAATGGTAATTGAATTAGATAGTATTAACGATATTATATTTATATCCGTTCCATTCATTTCGAAATATTAACGTACATACGATTTAAAAAAGTTGATAGAAAATAGTTAAATAGATTTATTCTTTTTAGCTGAACTTCTTGTACACATAGTTCTATTTTTTTTTTTTTTTTTTCGTTATCGGAGAGAAAAAAGAAAGATGAATCGTGCAAGTTCAGTTAAAAAGAATGTGGCCTAATATCTCGCAAAAGAATGTGGCTAGGGTAAAAGTAGCGAACCTGCGCCTATTCTCTTGGCCGACCGCGCGTACTCGTGTTCATTCTCGTTTCCAACGGATGCGCTTCGCGCACGCGTTGACCTTCGATAATGTCTCCACGCGACAACTTCTCTCGTCCGTGCGCAGGCGAAATGCATATTTACGCGTCGGAGAAAGAAACAGGGAGAAAGAAAGAGAAAACAGAGAGAGAGAGAGAGAGAGCGAGCGAGCGGCGTGGCCAACGTATATTAGGAGATTATGGACTTTTTCTTTTTAAAAAAAGAGCACGAGAATGGCATGTTGCATTGTGTTTTGTTTGGAAACGACAAAAGAAATAAATAATGGGGAAAAAATAAATTCGAAAAAAAAGTTATGTTACATAATTAAAAGTTATTTTTAAGTTATTAAAAGTTACTTTTAACCCTCCGTCGTAATTAAATAATCCATTTGTTTGCAAGAGAAAAGATGATTTTTATATTGTTAAAAATTTTATATTATGTACTATTATGTACTATTTTATTATTCTATTAATTCTGTTATTTTGTCTACAGCGTTTCCTGTATATTTTTATTTATTTAACTATTTATTTCATTTATGATGGTTTGAACATGACACGCGCTCTTATTAGTTTATATCGTTCCATGAAAGTCATCAATTACGATCAGATGACAGTATCTTGACGCGCAAGAAACATAGTTTACTATTACGTTGTGTTCTGAAGATAGAAACATTATTACGGGGGTCACTATAATCTCGACTCGATCTTGACAATTATCAACACAAAATTTTGAAACGTATTCCTTTTTGTCATATATTATATTAACAGATATTCTGTTTTTAAAATTTTTTTAGTTCAAATAGTTTAGTAAATATTTGAATTGATTAATGTTATTAAGATATATAATTTAATAAATTATTATAAATACTGAATAAAAATTTAATTAAAAATGTTTTTACTTAGCACACCGAGATATAATGACAAAACACATATTAAAACAAAAATTGTTTCTCTGAATAAAAAATTACAATTTCACATCATATTTCTCATATCTACTCTTCCTCTATTCTAAATATTTTAAATCATTTATTCATTTTCTATGTTCTCTATCATATTTATGTGTTTGCTAACAAATCTATGTCTCGTTCCCCATCGTATTTATATTTATATTTTTCGTGTTTGTTACGGTATTCATGTTTCCCATGTATGTGCCCACGTGTATGTTCAGCAAATACACATTCCTTGAATATTCTCCATTGTATCCTTCGTTTTTTATTGTCTCGCTAGTTAAGACATACCAACAATCTGTTATTCGTCAACTTTCGATTTTTTGCGTATCAAATACGTATTTTCATAATTTTATGGATTAGTCTTCAAAAATATTTAAAATAATAATAATAATTGCAATAATTATAATAGTAATAAAAAATGTAATTACATATATTTATCAGATATAGCTTTCTATAAAATTCTTTTTAAAATTTTTTATTATTTTATATAAATCGGAAAGAAAATATAAAAAAAAAAATACAAAAAATGAAAGATATAAATCTAATGTTATATAAAATAATTAAGAAAAAAATTATTGAATATATAATTTACGGATGTATAGTAGAGATATAACTTAATTATATAAGTGCATTAATTTAACTAATTACGTTATGCTAAGATCTTTTCACACACACACACACACACACACACACACACACACACACACACACACACACACACACACACACACATTCAACAATTATAAAGTAAATATAGTCAAAAATTACGAAGTAAACAATGTTAGATATTAAAGAAACGAATATCGAAAATGCAAAATAAATATTTAATTGCATACATTAATTGTCCTCATGA